AGCCAGGATGGTCTCGATCTCCTGACCTCGTGATCCGCCCGTCTCGGCCTCCCAAAGTGCTGGGATTACAGGCTTGAGCCACCGCGCCCGGCCTCGTTTTTTTTTAAGGATATCTAAGACTGTTGAATATTAATCTCATTCTTAAGATAAAATATGTTCTTTAACATATATACAGTACTTTGTTATATATGGTATAATAGTACCCTATATATGTTATATATGGTATAATTGTAATTATAGCTCTGTGCCTGTATGAAAAACACATATAATCAAAGTAAATTGTGGGCCATGCCTGTAATCCCAGCTACTCGGGAGGTTGAGGCAGGAGAATAGCTTGAACCCAGGAGGCGGAGGTTGCAGATACTCGTACGTAACACAGCTGAACACTATCAGGCAGGCAAATAATCAGCACAAATAATGAAGTGATGTCTGGTTTTGGAAATTACAATGATCCGACCAGACGCAGTGGCTCACGCCTGTAATCCCAGCACTTTGGGAGGCCGAGGCAGGTGGATCACGAGGTCAGAGTTCAAGACCAGCCTGCCCAACATGGCAAAACCCGTCTCTACTAAAAATACAAAAAAATCAGCCGGGCGTAGTGGCGGGTGCCTGTAATCCCAGCTACTTGGGAGGCTGACGCAGGAGAATCACTTGAACCCGAGAGGCAGGATTTCACCATGTTGGCCAGGCTAGTCTCAGACTCCTGACCTCAGGTGATCCACCCACCTCAGCCTCCCAAAGTGCTGGGATTACAGGCGTGAGCCATTGCGTCCGGCCGGATTATTGTAATTTCTAAAACAAGACATCACTTCATTATTTGTGCTGATTATTTGCCTGCCTTATAGTGTTTAGCTGTGTTATGTACAAATATCTTCATCCTCCACCTCCTGGGTTCAAGCTATTCTCCTGCCTCAACCTCCCAATTAGCTGGCATAACAGGCATGCGCCCACCATTTACTTTGATTGTATGTATTTTTCATATAGGCACAGAGCTGTGGATAATAAAAATCAATGTCCAAATCACTAAAACACAATTCTTTCAAAAAAGCATTGTGTCATAGTTTAATTAGCAGAATTTTTTCTTCCTTAATAGTCCATAAAATAACGATATCTTAATATAGTTGGCATCTTAGAGTCAGTGAAATATTATAATGACCAATTGTAATATTGTAATGGGTTGGGTGCCGTGGCTCACCACCTGTAATCCCTACACTTTGGGAGGCTGAGGTGGGCAGATTACCTGAGGTCAGGAGTTAGAGACTAGCCTGGCCAACATGGTAAAACCGCTTCTCTACTAAGAATACAAAAATTAGCTGGGTGTGGTGGCGGGCACTTGTACTCCCAGCTACTTGGGAAACTGAGGCAGGAAAATTGCTTGAACCCAGGAGGTGGAGGTTGCGGTGAGCCAAGATCGCGCCACTGCACTCCAGCCTGGGTGACAGCGAGACTCCATCTCAAAAAAAAAAAGTCTGCAGTGAAGAGATTGTGTTTTATGCTTCTTTGAATCTGGATCTAGCACACTGCTATGTCTTTAGTTAATAAATACTTACTGGTCTGAGTTATTTCCGTGGGCAGATAGCCCAACCCAGAATTTCAGTAGTAGAGTTCCTGGAAAACAACGTCTTCATATAGTTGACCAACTGGGCTATATTACCTTCCATGTTCTTCCTCATAAAATCTCATAATCATCACCTTCTGTCTTCTTCATTCCCTCTTCTACCATAATCGATCATTACAATATTTCACTGACTCTAAGATGCCAGCTATATTAAGATACTGTTACTTTATGGACTGTTAAGGAAGAAAAAATTCTGCTAATTAAACTATGACACAGTGCTTTTATTGAAAGAACTGTTTTTTACTGATTTAGACATTGATTTTTATTATCCACAGCTCTGTGCCTATATGAAAAATACATATAATCAAATTACTGTAGGTACCTATAAAAGTTCACATTCAAAGCCTGACTCTTCTGAGTCACTTTTTAACTGAGTTGTCCATGTCTTTGTTTTTCCCTGTGTCATCACTAACATTCTCATTAGCCATAAGGCATTTCCAGAGTGTTCCACTATTTTCCCCCAGATTTAATTGAAACCTCTGTTATCAGTTCTATTTTGAAGGTGGTGGTTTCTCGATGATACCAGAAGGTGTCAACAGAAGGTTGTACATCTCTCAGTAACAAAGATGTAATGCTGCCTCATCTACTTTAGGTGTCTTCTTTCTTAGGTCATATAAAGCACTTGGTTGTACTTGCAAGAAACTATGGAATTGTGGGCATGTGTCCTCAGAGACAAATAGTGCTTGGGTTTTTTTTTGTTTTGCTTTGTTTTGTTTTTATTTTTTTTTTTAGAGATAAGATCTTATTCTGTCGCCCAGGCTGGGTGCAGTGGTTGAACACGGCTCACTGCAGCCTAGACCTCCTGGGCTCAAGTGATCCTCCTTACCCCAGCTTTCTGAGTAGCTGGAACTACAGGCATGTACCACCATGCTTGGCTAGCTTTTTCAGTTTTTTGAAAAGACACGGCCTCACTGTTACCCAGGCTGGTCTCATACTCTTGGGCTGAAGCAATCCGCCCTGTCTCAGCCTCCCAAAGTATTGGGATTACAGGCATGAGCTACCGTGCTCAGCCAGATAGTGCTTTTCTTAATGCCAAATGTGTTCCTTGCTACTCTGTTTCAGAACTTTTCTGCATTCACAATCACTTTTTTAATGCTAATCACAGTAGAGTCTTTTTGAAGACATGTCATGGCAGTTAGACTCAATACATGAGGTACAAACAGTGCAGTGACTTTGTTGACATGCTGACAGTACTAATAGCTGTGACTAAGTTCTCACAAGCGTGAGCAATAACAACCGCAAGGCAGCTGCCATTTAGCCATCAGCAGTTCTAAGACACATCTTGACCTCAGGAATGCTAAATTGTGAAAAGGTGTGTATCTTGGAATTGATGAAATATGGTGTTTTATGGTATGTTATTTCTAGGCTCTTAGTGTAGTTTCTTAACTGTCCTCCTTACCTCCTGCTGTGAATGTGATGTACATTTTAATCTTTCAAAAACTAGTAAAACTACAACAGCTGCCCAGATAAAGTATACATTTTATCAAGGGTCTACATTTCTTCCTGCCTCTCCCACTTTATCTTCCATTAAACACCCTTCATAAACCTTCTGTTCTGTCCACAGTCTGTTGCTTTTCCTCTAAACATGGGAATGATGTGAAAATCACAGATGGGAAAGGATTAGAAATCTACCCTTTGCTCAGCTCAAATACATAGGAATGATTACTCCCTCGCTACCCAGAGCCAGTGCATCAGTCAGTCCTCCAGAGCCAGCCTCCAAAACTCACCCAAACCTTGCTTCACTGTGTCTCCACTACTGCATTCCAGTTCACTCCATCCTCACTCGCTCCTGCAACAGCTTCCACCAGGCTCCCGGATTCTACTGTTTCCTTTACAGTCAATTTCTTATACAGCAGCCAGGGTGACCTTTAAATGACAGGCTTGTCTAGCTGCAAGACTGATATGCAATCTCTATGCAGAGGACTCAGCTGGGGAAGAGTGGAGGAAGAAAAGTTTGTGCTGGAGGAAGTAACAATTTGGTTATGCCATCTAGGGTGGGGTGTACAAGTCTGGAGTGCAGAGAAGAGGCTGGAGCTGGAAATAGAAATGCAGCCTTCTCAGTAAAGACAGGGCATGCCAGTCTCAGCTAGATGAGTATTGGCCATGGGAATAGTGGGCAAGAGCAGGTCTGCTCCACTCTGTGCACATGGCACAAGTCCCACCCTCAGCCTCCTCCTGCCCTGGCTCTTGCCCTTGCTCTGCCCTGGCCTGTGCCGCTGGAATTGGATGGTGGGTTCCTGCCCTCTGCGCCCGTCTGCTGCCTCTGAGGTGCTAACTTTGCCCTTTACAAAATTGGCCTGTGTTCCCAGTACCCTGCAGTTAGTTGGCACTTAGCAGACATGTGCTGAATGCGTGAATGAGCATGAATTCAGTGGGTTTTCTATGGGCGATAATTTAAATTCCTAATTTTATGCCTCTGCACAGAATCTTTATCTTCCGATCCTGAGGTTTTGCTTCAAATTGATGGTGTTACTGAAGACAAACTGGAAAAATATGGTGCGGAAGTGATTTCAGTATTACAGAAATACTCTGAGTGGACATCGCCAGGTTAGTATACAGCCATGTGTGTTCTCTAAAAGCCTGTTTAATGTGAAGCGACGCATCTCACTGAATTAGAATGATGCAGTTTCCGGGTTGTGTGAATGCTTCCTACACCTCGTCACACTGACATCCAAGTCAGCCCCCAGTGATGTGCCAGTCATCTCTAAGAGGACACTAGTGCTTTTGCCTCCTGCGGGTGCCAGTTCTGAACTTACTCATAGGATCCAAAAGGGGACCTTGGGGCCCAGGGGTTGCTAGTTCCTGTAATGCAAGTGCTCGAGGAATCAGAGCCCTGGGTGCCAGTGCCAGATCTGCCACCGTGTCATGCTGTGTGATCTTTGGCAGGCCACCAATAGCCTCTTTGTGAATCAGGTTCCTCCACCAAGGAAGGAACATGTTATCTGACAAATATGTCTAAAGATAAAATTTAAGACTAGTGTTTAAATGTTTTGGAGAAATGAGCATGAAACTAGAATGTTACTATTGTTAGTCATTGACAGAACCTGCCTGAGTGCATCATTATCAGACGTTCCCAGAGTCACGTTAGGCCTGTCCTGTGGCACCTCTAATCATGAGCTTCATCATCATTACAGCTTTAGAAATCATTGACCAGGGGGGAATGAGAACAACGAAGTATTTTGTTGCAGGCGATATTGAGAGCACAGAAGTCTTCCGCCCTCTGATAACATCACCATGTAATAGGACACAACAGACAAGCCCAATTCAGTGTTCTTCCTGCTTCCAGACAGGCAGTGTGGGGGTCTTCCCAAGGGTGATGGAAATGATGAGCAGGATGAGATGGTTCAAGTTCTTTCTTTCCCCAGTCACCTTTTTTTTTTTTTTTTTTTAAACAGAGTCTCACTCTGTCTGGAGTCTCACTCCAGGCTGGAGTTCAGTGGTACAATCTTGGCTCACTCTGCCTCCCCAGTAACTGAGACTGCAGGCACGCACCACCATACCTGACTAATTTTTGTATATTTTGATAGAGATGGGGTTTCACTATGTTGGCCAGACTGGTCTCAAACTTGTGACGTCAAGTGATCCACCTGCCTCAGCCTCCTAAAGTGCTGGGGTTACAGGCATGAGCCACCACACTTGGTCAGTTTCTTATAATTCTTCTATATGGTAATTCATCCATTAAAAGCCTTGTTCCGAATACATTTTGACAGTGAACCAGGTTTGGAGCAGCCACGGTGGAGTCCTGTGCCCTCCATGTTGCTCCTGTAGGACAAACCAGACCAGCCAGGAAATGGAGACTGGGTCTCCGTGTGACCTATCTATAGGGAGGTTTCGTGCTTTTTGGGTGCCTTGGGATGCAAATACTTATGGAAATTACCATCTTCTTTGCAAATGTGTGCTTTCATGCAGTCCCACCTCCCGCATAATATGTGACATGTTCAACCATTGTGCAAAGACAAGTTTTTTTGTCTGTGATGAGTAAAATAGGGTCTAGAATTTTCTTATGCTCATTTACTAAGAAACTATTGTTCAAAGATGAGATACAGAACCGTTTGTTTCCCTTATATTGAGCTAATTTTTTCAGCACATTTAAAATAAGTAAAATTGCCTGCCATCTTTATAGCACTTGATATTTTTTGAATTGCCTACCAGAACTAACTGCCCGATCAACAACAGGAATACAGGCCGTATGCGACAGCATGAGCTAAGCCTCATGTCTCTAGTTAACTTCAGGAGTATCACACATTTTTTAAATGAATTCTGATTCTCTTTTGTTAAAAATGAATTGCCATTGAACACTTTGGGGCTTTGTGAAGTCAAAAAAGGTTTAGTTCTTACTGAATTGTTGAATCCATATGGCAGGGAGGAAGCCAGGTTATCTGCTAAAACAGGCCCCTGCAGTGTGTCCCTTCATATAGACTAAAAACACGTGGACCAGTGCGACATCACCGGTAAACATCTGCATTTTCCATTTGTAGCTGAAGACAGTTCCCCAGGGATGAGCCTGTCCGGCAGCAGAGGCCCCGGAAGAAGTACCGCTGAGGAGCTCGACGAGGAAATATCCGTATCTTCCCACTACTTTACAAGTAAAACCAGAAATGAAAGGAAGAGGAAAAAGATGCCAGCCTCCCAAAGGCCTAAGAGGAGAAAAACTGCTTCCAGTGGTTCCAAGGCAAAGGGGTAGGTTTTGTGACATCTTTGCAATATAGGGAACAAGAGAAGAAAGGACAAAAATGTAACAGCTCTGCCTTGCTTTGAAGTATTTATTAAAATAAGCCATTATTAAATATTGCCTCCCCAGTTAATAGAGTGACAATTAAGGTTTGATCCAAAGCAAAAATATTTGCTTCAAGAAACAACAAAAAATATTTGCTTCAGATGTTTAAAACATCTACTGACTAACAGTTACAACTAAAGTTTTCTTTCTTTCTTTTTGTTTTTTTATTCGGGGGCAGAGTCCGGCTCTGTTGCCCAGGCTAGAGAGCAGTGGCGCAATCTCGGCTCACTGCAACCTCTGCCTCCTGTACTCAAGTGATCCTCCCACCTCAGCCTCCTGAGTAGCTGGGACTCCAGGTGTATACCATCACTCCTGGCTAATTTTTGTATTTTTTGTACAGATGGGGTTTCCCCATGTTGCCCAGGCGGGTCTCAAACTCCTGAGCTCAAGTGATCAGCCCACTTTGGTCTCGCCAAAGTGCTGCATTACAGACGTGAGCCCCTGCACTCGGCCTGACTAATGTTTCTTGTTTGCAAAGATGTCTTCCATGTTGATCTTCCCTTAGATATTTGTTTGCTTGTTTGGAATGATGGCTCTTCTTAAGAGACTTTTCCACCTAAATTACTATAAATCATACACCAGCTGAATAAATAACAAAGGGTTTTGTGTCCTCGTGACTTTTACGATTCTGTCAGTACTTGCTCTGCTGCTTTTATTGCTGCAGAATCCCATGGATCTCCACCTTGAGGCGGTGCACACTCCCTGCCTTTCATTAACGCCTGGGAGAATCGACCTCCCAGCCTTTGCAGGGGTAGCGAGAAGAAGCCACAACAGAGAAACCAAAAGTTCAGTCAAGCCAGGCCTCTTTAGGGTTGCATAAATGGCTTCTGTCTTCCCCTTCCCACGTTTGCCTGGGCCGCTCGTCTGGGACATGTCTGTTCTGGGTGCTTTCTGCACACCAGGGGAACAACAAAGATAGCACGGTCTGATCTGTGTGATGATCTTGGCAGTGTCCTTCTTTCTAAATAATTGCATTGTTTCCAACAGCCCCTTTTTGGTTTTCTGCCAGGGCACCCTCTGCCTTCTGGCAAGTAGGTAAGGCCTGGCAGGAGGGAGACCATTCCATCAGTCTTGAGAACGTGACCCCAAAGTAACTGCATATTGTAACAGAATTGCTTGCAGAAAAAAGAAACCAAAAAAAAGTCCACAGTCAACTTTGCAAGCTGTTGTGTTTTCTTTTGCAGTTTTTCTACCTCTTGTCCTTCTGGGTAATAAAAAACAAAAATTGAGTGGGGGAAGAGAAAGGAAGGCAGGCATTACCAAATTGTCATTTTCTTGTTAAGTCCATAAACAAACATCTTGTATGTGCTAATTCTCCTGCCAGAGTACTGAAATTAAAGGCATTAGAAAACGTTAGTTTAATTTTGTGGCCTTGAGTGCGCAAGCGATCAGTAAATGTTCTTAAGTGAAGACATTTTCTTATTTCCATCATTTATTCCTCCGCTTTGGGAAATACTCATTTCCTCCGTAACACAGAGCCAGAGACCTTAAAAGGCATCTGGCTCAACACCCTGGGTTTTTGAAGAGGAAGCTGAGGCCTGGCCTGAGGAGGGCTTATCGGAGGCCAACCCTGCCTAGTATCAATTTCAAAGATAGAAGCGGACACTGGCCTGCCCACACCTGCCCGGAGCACGTCCACTTCTGCATGTTGCCTGTGGAGACTCCTAAAAAACACACATGGTCTCCCATCTCATTTTTATGTATTAGAACAAAGCAAACTGTATTCCAGTGTTCAGTGCTATTGGCTCCCTTATTTAATTTTCACAACTTTTGTTTGTAAGAGTGAAGCACTTTGCAGCATCACCTGGAACCTAAACTGATAAGAAGCAGTAAAGCTCACACTCGTGCAAAAGCCAGTACCAATTTCCATGCTTGTTTTCAGTGAGCCTGGGTGTTTAAGATGGGATTATTTGTTGTTGTTGTTGTTGTTGTTGTTACAGAGTTTCGCTCTTGTCACCCAGGCTGGAGTGCAGTGGCACTGTCTCAGCTCACCGCAACCTCTGCCTCCCGGGTTCAAGCTATTCTCCTGCCTCAGCCTCCCAAGTAGCTGGGATTACAGGTGCATGCCACCATGCCGGGCTAATTTTTATTTTTATTTTTATTATTATTTTTTTTTTGAGACTGACTCTCACTCTGTTGCCCAGGCTAGAGTGCAGTGGCCGGATCTCAGCTCACTGCAAGCTCCGCCTCCCAGGTTTACGCCATTCTCCTGCCTCAGCCTCCGAGTAGCTGGGACTACGGGCGCCCGCCACCTTGCCCAGCTAGCTTTTTTTTTGTATTTTTTAGTAGAGACGGGGTTTCACCGTGTTAGCCAGGATGGTCTCGATCTCCTGACCTTGTGATTCGCCCGTCTCGGTCTCCCAAAGTGCTGGGATTACAAGCTTGAGCCGCTGTGCCCGGCCTAATTTTTGTATTTTTAGATGGGGTTTCACCATGTTGGCCAGGCTGGTCTCAAACTCCTGACCTCAGGTGATCCGCCCGCCTCAAAGTGCTGGGATTACAAGCTTGAGCCGCTGTGCCCGGCCTAATTTTTGTATTTTTAGATGGGGTTTCACCATGTTGGCCAGGCTGGTCTCAAACTCCTGACCTCAGGTGATCCACCCACCTCAGCCTCCCAAAGTGCTGGGATGACAGGCGTGAGCCACTGTGTCTGGCCAAGATGGGATTCTTTTTTAAGCCCTACCAGCTAAAGCCAGTGCGCTGTGTGACTTTGTGTTACCTTTGGAGCAGCCTCTTTGTGCTCCACTCCTTTCCACCAACCCAGTCTGCTCCCTGGATTGAGAGTCCCTGTGCAGTGAAAGAATAAATGTGGCTCTCTGCCAGCAGCCTCACCTCCCCACCCTACCCTCAGAGTTTTACATCTTCAGAGCAACATACAATGAACCAGTTGTGTTCTGGGCTCTCTGAGCGGGAGTAAATAGATGGCCCAGGTGAAATGGAGGCTGCTGTTGGCAGATTCATTCTGTAAATCAACATAAACAGCAGGTTTTCGCTCCGGGCTTAATTTCTCAGCAGGAAATCAGCATAGGGAAACTTCAGGCTGCATCTCTGCCGGTTTAGCAGATCTTTGCCAGTTCTGCAGGAAAATTGCCCTGGAGCCAGAGTTGAAGTCATGGAGCTCCCCCAGAACGTCATTATCCACAGGCTGTGGCCCTATACCCTCAATTCAGACGGGAGGCTGCTTGCATGCCCTGGTGCCATGGAATTAATGTTGGGCCTGACATCAGCCTGGTTAAAAGCAGCAGGAAAGGCTTCTGTGGGTACTGCTGCCCACAGTCATCACTGTAAACATGCCGGCCTCATGGTTTTGTTTTTTATTTCATTTAGGGGTGGGAAGGGAGCTGTTATCTTGAGGTCTGCAAGGAAAGTGAGATGCTGGAAGGACTTTGGAATCGGCTGTGGCGGCTTCTTCCTTGGCTTTAGAAGGCAGCGAGTGGGAGGGCGAGCGGGCAGATCTCCGGGTGTAGGCAGGTGAGCCAGGGAGCTGCAGACGCGGCCCTGACAGAGACAGGCCACACCCTTGGATAAGGCAGCTCAGCCTCCCCAGGAAGCTGCATCTGCAGCCCTCCTGGGGCTTCCTGGGGCTGGCCAGGAAGACGCCCAGCTCTGCCAGTCCTGGCCACCCAGCTCCACGCCACACGTGCTCACCCCACAGCTGCCTTGCTCTGGACTGTACAAATCCAGTCGTTCCGGGGTGCCTGTCAGCAGGGAGCTGAGGCCTTGCAGCAAGGTGTTTCACTTCCTTTATTTGGTCGGAATGGATGAGGGCATGTGAACCTCTGCTGCTCTTGTTGTAGGGCTCTGGTTGTAGGCTGCCGAAGGTGTGGGTGGAGAGAGGGGCGGTGGGTTGGTCACAAGTCAGAAAATTAAGAAACGGTCCTTCACATTTCAGAAGGACAAATCCAGGACAAATTTATATGAAGGGCAGTGGTCCTTTATTCCTTAAGTAGTAAAGGAAACTTACCTTACCTAGGGGGTTCATAGGCAGAAAATGCAAAGGACACATTAGGCCCAGGAAAGTCGTAGTGTAGCTCTGTGCAGGTTGAGAGGAAGAAGGTCATTCACTTTTGGTTCCATTTAACATTTTGATTTTTTCTTTGTCACATTTCAGGGGGTCTGCCACATGTAGAAAGATATCTTCCAAAACGAAATCCTCCAGCATCATTGGATCCAGTTCAGCCTCACATACTTCTCAAGTGACATCAGGAGCCAATAGAAAATTGGGGATTATGGCTCCACCGAAGCCTATAAATAGGCCATTTCTTAAGCCTTCGTATGTATTCTCATAACAACCGAATCTCAATGTACATAGACCCTCCTTCTTGTTTGTCAGCATCTGACCATCTGTGACTATAAAGCTGTTATTCTTCTTATACCATTTGAAATTTTTACTCGTCTCTATTAATATTTAAATAAATGCTGGGGGTGATAGTTCTTTTTAAAATAAACATTTTCTTTTGAATAAGCATGTTTTGCTGCCGCTGCAAGTGTTGTGGCCGTTGTTTCTCAGAACGTCTGAGGCAGCAGCTGAATCATCTCAGTGCAAGAGATTCTGAGCATAACACGAAACCCAGAAGCCAAAGGAAGAGCCACATGTGGGCCCTTGTGAAACTAAAGCTTTTTGTATGAGGCAACACAAACAAAATTAAAAGACAAATGACGGGGAAAAGAGGAGAAAATTTATTACAAAGGATTAGTATCCATCATATACCAAATACCTGTGAACCAGTCAGAAACATCCCAGTGGGCAGGTGAACCAAGGATGTGAACAGGCTAGTCTCAGAAGAAGAAATACACATGCCCACGGCTGGGTGCCGTGGCTCACGCCTGTTTTCCCAGCACTGTGGAAGGCCGAGGCAGATGGATCATGAGGTCAGGAGTTCAAGACTAGCCTGACCAACATGGTGAAACCCCGTCTCTATTAAAAATACAAAAATTAGCCAGGTGTGGTGTGCAGACACGACTGTAGTCCCAGCTACTCGGGAGGCTGAGGCAGGAGAATCGCTCGAACCCGGGAGGCAGAGATTGCAGTGAGCCAAGATCATGCCGTTGCAGTCCAGCCTGGGCAACAGAGTGAGATTCCATCCCAAAAAAAAAAAAAGGAAAGAAATATACATGCTCTGCAAATACGTGAAAATGGTCAATCTCCCTGAATAAAAATATGATAAAACCACGTGAGTTCATTCTTTTGCCTACAAATTTACACTGGATAATATCCCAGTATTTGGGGTCAGCGAGAAAGGTTGGCAGGTTGTTTGGGTGGCGTGTGTGGCAGTTCCTCTAGTCCTTTGGTATTGTGGTGGCCTCGCTTTTCAGGATGCTCCATAATGGGCTGATAGGCCCCAGCATCCTAGGTAGGATTTTGGCCTCTCTTGCCTCAACTCCAGTGGCCCCGTTTTTGCAGACATGGGTTTCTCAGCTCTAGGTCACCTTTGGGTCCCACACAGCGAGGAAGTGGCATAAGTCGTGAAACACACACCTTGGCCTGCCCCTTGTGTGGTGTTACCTGTGACCTCACTCAGGAGGGTATAGCCGGGAAGACCCTGCCTGTGCCAAAGCCAAAGGTATGAAGAAGGGGTTGATTGGAAGCCATGTGGCCTCCGCCTGGTGACTCAATCCTGAGAGGGACCCTGCACCCACCCTGAGGACCCACCCTTGTGGTAGCACACCAACTTCCTGCCTCCTGGGCTGTCTGTGAGCCCCAACTGCGGCCTGTGGGCTCTTGGCTCCTCATTTAATGGGGTTGACCGGCCAGGCGACTTTGCTGAGGGCTGAGCACCATTAGCACGAATGCCTTCCGGATCTGACATTTTCAGAGGCCATCCTTCTGGCCAGAAGAACCTTCTCTGGGGATGAGGAGTGGAAAGGAGACAAAGTAGCCAGAAGTTGAGGCACCTGGGGTAATGTCCACAGCATGAGGCCACCTTGGAGAGTTGCTGATCCAGCCAGCGCGTCTGGCAGGAGGCATGTCCGTTCCACCTGCTGCAGCAGCTCTGGCCTCGTTGGTGGGGATGGACCCCAGCACAGACAGGTCACTGCTAGGCTCTGACCTCATCCACTCGTTCCTTCTGGAGATGGAGCTTATCCCTCAGGGTCACAGGCTGTGCCTCCAGGGGCTCCCAGGGCTGTGGAGGAACAGATGAAAATAACATGTGCGGGGCCTGAAGGTGGAGAGCAGAGGCCATATGGGGCCCACACTACCTACAGCCCTTCCCCATGTCCTGGGAAGATGACAGGGTGGCTCACCCCTGCCTCCCAGCAAGGAACCTGAGGCTTAGAGACCTCTGATTTGCCTAAGCTCAAATGACCACAAGTGGCAGAGCCAGGCCCCACACCCAACTCTTGAAAACATTCTGGGTTGGAACAGGCTGTGCTCAGTTTCTCAGGACCCGGGAACAGGCACAGAAAATGCAAGCAGCCTCCTTCCTCCAGCTCATCTTCCAGCCCTCCCAGACCCCCAGGGAAGGCTCTGCATTCGCCCAGCGCAAGCCCAGGAGGGCAGAAGCAGGCAAACTTTCTCTGAACCGATGCCAAGGCCTTGAAGCCAAAGACAGGTCCACGGTGACAGCAAAGCTTCTCTGGGCTGGGCCCTGCTGGTGCCCCTCCATGGGCACAAATTGCCACCACCTGGGATAGGAGAGGGCACAAGTCCACCAGGGAGTGCCAGCCTGGGACCCATCACGGGCCCATCCTTCCCTAGGTACAGGAAGGCCCGACTCTCCCACACTCACTTGTCACCCTTCTGGAGGGCACAGGCAGGACTGGAATCTGGCTCTGCAGCTGCACATACGCCCTGCTGAGGCCCTCACACTGCAGAACGCTGGCCGGCAGGCCCTTGCTCACCTCCAGGGACAGAACCAACCACTCTCAGAGGAAAAGAACAAGCATGGAGAGCCCCCCACCCCACCGGCACTGTGCCAAGGGCTGTTTCGGGAACTCAGGTAATTCACTTCTTCCATCCCTCCCGCAGCCCTGGGAGGCAGGCACATGATGTTGGCCTTTTTTATGCAGAAACCAGAATTCAGAGAGGTTACGTAACTTGCCCAAATCCACGCAGCTAGGAAGTGGTAGTAAGTAGGGTAATACACATCTCGATGTGCCCTGAAGAGTCCCAGTTTACATCCGTTGTCCCTGTGTGATAATTAACACAGCTCACTTTCATTCTCAGAAGTGCTCCAGTTCAGACAAGTTCAGTGGCATCAAAAATCTAAGCTCTTTCCCTGAACTATCCCACCTCCTCTCCCAACCCCACTTTCCAGCCAGAGCCTCAGGGGCCACCTGCTGTCACCTGTTCGAAACTCCTGGCCTCTGCTGCAGGCTCCAGGCACAGAGGCTGCACAATTATCAGCCAGCATCGCTCAGCTGCGGCTTTTCTCCAGAAGAGGAAGCGGAGGCTGTGGTCCAGGCCCTCTCGTTCTTCTTGAGAAACTGCTGCTTCTCCCACTCCTGCAGCCGTCTGGAACTGCTCTGAGGCCCCGAGGCCCACCCTGTCCTTTGGAGGCTCCCAGAGTCCCAGCCTGGCTCTTTCTGTGGCTCAGAGCTGCTGCCTGGGTGGGGAGCAGCAGGCAGCAGCTGTCAACCTCCCCCAGCCTGGGACCCCCTGCTGGCAGAGGCCTCTGGGCAGAGACATGGCTGATGGGTCTTCTGTAGCAGCTGGAGTGAAATCCCCAGTGGCTCCAGCAGCCACTTCTCCCTCAGTGCAGCTGCCACAGCCCCGTGTGGCCTCAAAGCCAGGGCTCAGAGAAGCCAGCTGGTGGGCACACCCAGGGGACCCGAGCCTGGCCCAGAGCCTGCTAGGTGCTCCAGTTCATGAGTGCAGCAACCACTAGTAAGCAGGGGCTCAACTCTGCAGCTGTGCAGGGCAGACCCAGGACTTCGGGGACAAGCCCCTCGGCCTGCAGAAGGCTCCTGCTTTCCAAAATGCACTCACGCTGCTGTTCCTCCCACCCCGGAAAGGCTCCTCGGCTGACCCACGCTCCCTGTTGGCAGGAGAGGAAGGAGGAAGGGAGAAAACCCTCCCTGGTTGGGGTGGGCTGTGGACCCTCCCCCATAGGGTCACCACTGGGAAGAAGGACAGGACAAGGTAGACAGAAGCCAGAAGTAGGGTCCAGAAAGCCCCAGTCACGGCGAGGCGTCCCGAAACAGGTCCGAGGCTGGTCCCTGTAGCTAACCAAGGTGAAGGTTGGGGTTCTGGCATCATCATAGCTCAACTGTGTGGTTCCACAGCCCCCAGAGGGTTCGGGGAACCCTGAGAAGGTGCTGGGATGGCACTCTGATGGTGTCTAGGCTCGGGTCTATTCAGGATGTGGGAGTTCACCCCAGAGAGCCTGTCTGTCCCCATGGGTCCCACACACAGGGCCTGCCACACACATAGGCCACAGGCGTCTGCCTGTCCCGGCCCCATCTACTCAATCCCTGCCAGGAGCCACAAGGCCCCATGAAGGTCAGGCCCTGGCATTATGCCTGGGCCAGGAGTGGAGCAGAGAGCTCAGGTCCCTGCTTCCTGCAGGGAAGACTCTCCTCAGTGGGATAGAACCTGGAGCAGGGACCCTTAGGGTAGGAGGTGGCAATGGTGTCCCGGGAACTGCTGACGCGGAGTAAGGGTCTGAAGAGCCACCACTACCAGACCTGAAACCCCCGCCTGGAAGGAAGGACATCAGAGACACTGAGAGACACTGGGACTTCTGCCCAGAGCCCTGCTTGGGCTCAGAAAGGGATGGCCCCCTCCACTGTGGCCCCCACAGCTGTGGGAGCATTGAGACGTTGTGACGGGGACGCAGTTAACCCTGCTAACCCCAGAGATGAACTCAGCAGTTAGCACCAGGAAGATCGGAGGTCTGCCCATGCCAGCCCCACCACAGACACCCATCTGCAAGGCTGGATGTTAATATGAGGACAGAGACCTGTGCAGCCATCGTCACCACAGGTCCCTTGCACCCAAATGAGAGCCAGTCTGGAGTGGGAGGGACCCGGCCCCTTCCTCAGCCACCGAGTGCCCTTGGCAAGTTCTGTGGCCTCTCTGAGTCCCAGTGTCTCATCTGCACCATAAACATGCCACTTGGTCCTGACCTCCAGGGCTGCTGTGGCATCCTTTTGGTCAGATATTCCACAAACATTTATTGGCCAGAGCAGCGCTCCAGGCATGGTTCAGCCTTCAACCAGGGCACAGACAGGGAGTGAAGCGCCCCAGGGAGAGGAGAGAGCAGTGTTGTAGTGTGCGGGGGTGGGGGTGAAGACCCCAGGGCACCTGGGCCAGTGGGAGTGGGGGAGGGTGCCCAGGGGGCTGAAGCAGCCAAGTGACCTCCAGGCTGACCATCCCAGTGTCCAGCCACCCTCGCTGAAGCCACCCTGTGCTCTCCTTTGTGGTCCCCTCCTCACCTAGGAAGAGCAGAAAGGACACAGCGCCCACCGGCCAGACCCCCTTCCTGAGCAGAAAGCGCCCTGTGCCAGCCTGGCCACCACCTC